GCTGACCCCATTTGGCAGAGTTATGGCCCCTTGAATAACAAAAAAGTCATTAACTGCCGCGCTTCGTTTACGTGCAATAACTATAATAAATTTTAACCGATTTTCTTCAAACTTGGTCATAGGGTTAAATGCCTTAAGGGCTTTGCCAAGTTCGATGACTACTTTCAGCTGACCCCATTTGGCAGAGTTATGGCCCCTTCAATTATAAAAAACATCATTATCTGCCCAGCTTCGTTTCCGTGCAATAACTACAACAAATGTTAACCAATTTTCTTCAAACTTGGTCACAGGGTTAAATGTCTTAAGGGCTTGGCTAAGTTTGACAACCACTTTATTCGGACTCCATTTAACAGAGTAATGGCCCCCTTGATTAATGAAAAATGTCATTATTTGCAGTTTCCGCTTTGTAACTCCTTCAATCTTGATAACAATGTTTGTGTTCCTCTGTCTTTCCACCCATCTTGGGCACTCTTTGGTTTTCTTGTGATAAATGCTTTAGATATTGTTCAGATGTTTCAACCGAAATCCGTATGCACATCCGACTCATGCTAATTTTGTCAACCGATGTGATTTGTGCATATTTACTGATAATCAATGAGGTATAGGGCTTTTGTTCTTTCTTCAAGTTTTAAGTTATACATCATTTCTCAACAGCACGATACTCACATATTTAAACCTAACCTCAATAATGTTAACCTACAATAGTCCTGCAAGCGGGGGATACAAATTCCACGAACTTGCTTGTTTAAAATAGGAATAAGGCTTTAACATTACTATAACTGACTTCATCATAAGCAATAGTAGAACTTACTTATACATCTACATATATTGAATACAATTATCCTTATCAATTAGCACTTGTTTACATGATCATATACAATATAAAAATACCTACCCCAACTATGGGTCAGGGGTTTACACAGAATGAAGATCTGTATCTGTGTAATAGGAAAAGGACTAGTGATAAAGATGCATGTTGTGCCGTCGTTGGGGCTCGAACCCGCGACCCTTGGCTCTCCAGCCCGATGCTCTACTGCTGAGCTAAAGGGAAATTCCCTACAGCTGAAGCCTGTACGGCAACCTAATTAATCCACATGTTTTACATCTGTATGATCCGATCTACGGAAAACTCTATTATCTCTGTAAAAGAGACACATTAAGCAGAGGTAGACAACTATCGCAGTCAATGTTTTGGGATTGTCGCCCCATTCACTATGCGTTCAGCATTTCATTTGAGTTCAAGTGATCGCACTGATAAACTGTACTCAGCTTGAAGTTACATTGAATGTAGTTGATGCAGGCAAGGAATTTGATTTCCGTGATTCAGGCTTTAACGTAAAACTTCTCTATCGGAGAAGAACATTATTGATGTATTCATATATCGATTGATGATATTACCCACGCAACAAAGATTGGCAAGTTGCTGTCATTACTTATACGGTTCTGCGGATAATATATAAATGTGACAAGTAAAGGGCGTGTCAGAAAGGGTACACGTAAAGAACAGGATATCGGGTGAGACGTGCCACAGTGACGTCACGCATCACCGAGTTCAAAATATGTATATTCAATAGGCTGATATAGATGGGGCGTCAACTGGCCTGTCTTTCATCTGAGTGCCAAGAGAGATGGGGTCTCGGTCACTTCAGGTATGAACGTAAAATATGGAACAAAATGAAAAATAGTGGCCAAAATCCTCGTCAAATGTCCCAGCGTGATTTATGTTACAGGAAATTTTTAGTATTGCACATCGTCTCTTGTAAACTTAAAAAAGTACCAGCTTTTTAATCGGAAAAATCAGAATTCAATTATATAACTCATTAAATAACACTGACTTTTTATCTTGCTCAAAATGATTCCATGGCCTACAGTCTGTACAACGGTCCTATTCTGGACACGTAGCATGACTCTCCACTCGGTCACAACAAGATAATCTGTCCTTACCGACGACTATTTTCAGTTGAATGCTTCGTGTATTTTTAAGGATTTCAGATTGTCTCGGTTAGGGGTCAGCAATCAAAGATACAAGAACTTTTATTTAACGTCACATATTAAAAACAATAAACATTACCATTGTAGTGCTGAAAAATCAGAATTCAATTATGTAACTCATTAAAAACACTGTGACTTTTTATCTTGCTCAAAATGATTCCATGGCCTACCTGGAAAAAAACCAGTTTTGTCTTTCACTCCTGACCCAGTCTGTTTTGTTGTCTGCCAAATGCATAATAAGAGTATCATATGAAAATGCAGGCCACACCTCCTCGCCATTTTTTCCTGAAAAAAAAGTTGTTGTTTTTAGCTCACCTGGCACGAAGTGCCAAGTGAGCTTATGCCGTGGTGCGGCGTCCGTCCGTCTGTCCGTCCTCGTCCGTCAACTTTTCCTTTAAACAACTTCTTCTGAAGAACGGACAGGCCTAGAGTCATGATATTTGGCTGAAAGCTTTGTTGGTAGGAGCCCTACAAAGTTTGAGAACGAAAATGACCTTGACCTGTTTTCAAGGTCACAGGGGTCAAATATGTCAAAAACTTCAAACGACTTCTTCTGAAGAACTAAAAGGTATAGAATCTTCATATTTGGCTGATGGCTT